ATACAACAAAAGATAACAAACCTCCCAACTCTGGTTGCTCCGGGGGAAAGGGGCTAGCCAACCGGATAAAATTCAATCCTGTTGCTGAAGAGGTCTACTCAGTCGTCTGTCAGGACCTGCATGCATTAATGCTGCGCCTCCAAGGCAATGAGGCGTCAGTACAAAATAATGTACAGAGTATGAAAGGCAATAGACTATGATGAGGTATCCTGATATACTGGAATAATCTGATAAGTAAATCAAGGATAAGATAAGTGTACTGACCTGCTCCTAAAATCTAAACTTATCAAAAAATAATAATAAAACAACAACCTAACCAAGCCCCCATAAGCTCGGCAGCACACAAGACCACCTACTCAGGCCCCCATAAGCCCGAAAGGTGACAATCAGCTATCGGTAGTCCCCTAGACCCGTAGGCAGTCACATAACCCTCTTAGGCATTAATATAGCCCCGTAGGCAGCACATAGCTCTCTTAGGCATCAACATAGCTTATAGACAACTCATAGCCCTCTTAGGCAACAACATGGCCCTATAGAAAGCATATAGCCTTCTTAGGCGTCAATATAGCCCTATAGGAAACTCATAGCCTTTCTAGGCATCAATATTGCCCGTAGGCAACTCATATTCCTTTTTAGGCATCCATATAGCCCTGTAGGCAGAACATAGCCCTTCTAGGCATAGATCACATTCCTGCAGTTAACCACAATAGCCCCAAGGGCAACAATAACAATCCAACCGCTAAAAGCGAGAAATTTAGTTATAAGAAACCTATACAAATAGCCTCTAAGTCATGTCCAACATAGGGACGCTACTAACTAAATAAGAATCCCGACAAGGGAGGATTATATCAACTCGAGCAGCCAACAATCAGCAATCACAGCTACAAGTATATCAAGGATAACAACCCAAATACATGTCTTCTAAGCTTTAAGGAAACATGCCTTAAGTAGGGAATAGCCTTAACATACCTTTTTCGCTAAATTCACGTGTCCTAATAACTTTAATCACAACCCTCCTTGATAATACAACAAGGCAGGATCATAATCAACACAAAAGAATAAAAGATACAATGAAAATCCGATAAAATACTTTTGTCGCAAATTGCTATTTGCGACTTATCAAAGCTGGAGTCGATGAAAGAAAGGTCTTACCTTGATTATATGTTTGTAATACACCTCAAAACATTAAAATATGCCCAAACCCCTGTTGTCCACATACCAAAGTATGATATTCTAGGAAATCGATAAAACAAATTATACCATGTTGACGAGCTCAACGCGTAGAACAACTTTTGTCAAGGACTTAAGTCACGAAAATCAGTAACTTGGCTTGCCCTAGAAGTGAGTTTTGTAGGTTTTGTGAGTTTTCTGGTTCTTCACTAAGGAAAATGAAGGGAAAATGATTAAAAGTCGAAGAATATGATATATATAAAGTTCCACCGACCTAGGGGACCCACCTCACCTTCCTGCTTGCGCAGTCTTGCAAAAATGTGAATATCTCTCCATTCTGAAGTCGTATGAACAAACAGGTTGATGTGTTGGAAAGTAGACTCATAGACCTTCGATTTCATAGGTCCCGGGGGAACCATAACTATTAATATATTGGGGAGAAAACGTCCGAGACATTTGACCCAAATTTCAGACAAATCTTTAAAAAGGAATTTACGGTAACTTCTGCCAACTTTTATTTTGCCACTTACCTAACTTCAAAACTTAAGATACAACACTTGAACACTTAAAATATCACATAACACATCATTCTTAATTTATTACCCACCCTCTTGGTCTTTCCATGAAGATACGAGTCAATTTATACGTTTCGAAAAGTCGGGGTGTTACAATGTGATTCTGATATGTCTTCCCCTACAAATAATACTTCTTCATCAGGGAAATATGTTCTAAGCGATTCATATCCTTCATCTACTAGGTTTTCAGCAAGGTGATCTGCTAAGGCTTGCCCCTTGATTGTTTTCTGAGTCATGTACACAATGTCGAACTCACTCAACCACATTTTCCCCTTTGCTAGCTTTCCTGTGGGCATTTTTTTATGAAATATGTACTTGAGAGGGTCCATCCTCGAAATGAGATGTGTTGTATAAGCCGAGAGATAATGTCTCAATTTCTGAGCAACCCAAGTCAAAGCACAACAAGTTCCCTCTAAGAGGGTGTAACGAGCCTCATAGGATGTGAACTTTTTGCTCAAATAATATATAGCTCTCTCATTTCTTCCGATCTCATCATGTTGTCCTAACACACACCCAAACGCATTGTCAGAGACGGATAAATACAATAGCAAAGGACTGCCTGCACGTGGTGGCACCAACACTGGTGGATTTGAAAGGTAACTCTTGATGGTGTCAAAAGCCTTCTGACATTCTTCGGTTCATTAGGTTGGTGCATCTTTTTGTAGTAACTTAAATATGGGCTCACATACACCTCAATTTATTTGTGGATCATATCATGGAAAATGGTGGTCATAACTCTCATGTAAGTGGCTCCATCATTCTTGAGGCCGAACGGCATCACTCGATAATGGTAGACTCCCCAAGGTGTGATAACTGTTGTTTTTTCTGCATCTTCTTCGTCCATTAGAATCTGATGGTATCCCGCAAAACAGTCCACAAAAGATTGCAACTCATACTTAACACAATTGTCGATGAGTATGTGAATATTTGGCAAAGGGAAATTATCTTCTGGACTCGCTTTGTTGAGATCCTGATAAACCACACATATCCTGATTTTTCCATCTTTCTTCGCCACTAGAACAATGTTAGCCAGCCAAGTGGGATACTTGGTCACTTCAATGACTTTTGATTTGATCTACTTCATGAACTCCTCTTTTATCCTAAACTTAGATCGGGCTTGAACTTTCTGGTTTTCTGCTTTACTGGGCAATATTCTGGATTGATAGGCAGCTTATGGGAAACAATATCAGTGCTTAACCCTGGCATATCATCATAAGACCAGGAAAACACATCAATGTATTGTTTGAGCAGCTTGACCAACTCTTCTATTTATGTTGCTGCCAAATAGACACTGACTCAGGTTTCTCTGACCGACTCGTCATCTCCCAAGTTTACTGTCTCAGTTTCATCCAGGTTGGGCTTTTTATCGTCTTCAAGTTGCCTCAAGTCCTTGGTAAGGTGTTCAGGCATCATAGTTTCCTCATCATATTCTTCACATTCATGTTCATTGACCTTACTTGGTTTGCTGTGTTCGTGACATGTCATGACATTGGCAGGTTTAGATTCATTTTTACTGAAAAGAACAACAAATCAACCATGTTAGATAGAGAGAGTTTAAATGTATTTATTGGAGAATAATTTGCAATGACAAGATAATCAATTTAAAATAACAAGGCTTTCATTGGAATTTTAAAAAGGAGTACAAACTTTGGTCATGAGTCATTTCCTTTTTAAACATTACGATGAAAAATAAAGTGACATAAATGATGGTTTCGGGACTCGTCCGAACAACACCAATTTTCAAAAAATAAAATTTCAAATCTTGTCTTTGTCTACCAAGCCATTCGATGGATCATAAGTGGAGTGCCCATCCAATTCTGTAGCATCTCTCCAGGTCCGGCATCTCGGATGGTGGG